ATATCATCAACATATACTAGCTGATCAGGTCGTGGTGCGTATATAACGCCGTGACCTTTTCCCATATCTCATATACATATATTTACATATATACGCGTATATAACGTCATCTGTTCATGGGTCAATGCACATGTATAAATGGGTGAAATGCATGAAAAATACGTAAAAATCTCAATATTCCTTCCAGATAAACTTTTTCAACTACGTATTATTCTGAGACCCATGAACAGAAGATAATAATAATTCTCATGGGGAATCAAGAATATAAACACCCCTAGTATCTCTATGAATAGAGTAATTTATGGGAATTATGCGTTTGCTCGTTTCTTCAGTATAATTTGGACCATGCCAAAAGAAAGAAGGGATGGCCTTAACATACCTGGAGTAGGAAAAACTCCGTATAGTATTCCATTGGAAACCTTCGTGGATTTGAACTTAGAATCCTAAAAATTGGATTAAGCTTCTGCTTTTTGAAATTGTTGAACGATTTAGCTTCTGTTATTTTGAAATTCTTGAACGAACTTTAGCTTCTGCTTCTTTGAACAAATTGAACGAAAATAGGCTTCTTGAAATTCTTGAACTAAGAATGAATGATATATGAATAAGGACTAATCAACGTTCTGAGCCTTTTGTCCAAAATGGAAAATGAGATAAGACTCTTTACAAGTCTTATTTTGGTTAACTTTCAATTTAATCCTTAGGTAGCCACATGGCATAAATGACTAAGAGTCATTCTTAGCCTTGTGGCGTTTGTGCCATGTTTTTGGAGTGTAATTTTGTTAATTTTTATCCACTTATTAGTTAATTGGGTAATGTTCCGTTACCCGGTAATTAACCAATTACCCGCATAATTTAAAAATTGCCACAAATTACTTAAATTCTACTTATTTTTAATATACTTTATATATACTTTATACATTATACTACCGTGGTCATATGGTACCTTGCACGATACTAGTTCATAATTATCGGGTATTATCGCTCGACTCGTATTTTATCCCGAATTGGCCACTTTCAACGAAACTCGTTTTCTTTAATTCGTGTACCCCTTTATCCTTCATAACAGTTATTTATCACTTGTTAGAAATAGTGTAAATACGTTAACGCCAAGATGATCTCATCCCCGAGTCTACGTCAATTAACTGAAGACGAAACTTTTAACGTACCAAAACACGAGATGTAACAAAGATGATGGACTCGCTTCAAAAGCTTGAGAAATAACTTTTTGACGACAACGAAAAACTAGGTAAAATCACTTGTTTCAGAGGTGGTGGAGGACTATGACTTTGTTGTCGTAGGGGTGGTGGTGGTGATAAAAGAGTGGGTGGCGGCGGAGGCGGCCGTGGAGATTGTTGAGACAGTGGAAGAGGAGGAAGAAAGGACTTGATTAAACGGAAAGAATAAGGAAACAAAAGTAGAAACCCAAAGTTAAGATCAATAATGACGGATCCATATCCATTCAAAGTATGAAAATAAAAAAAATAAAAAATATCCATTCAAAGCTCTAGCTTGGGTCAACTAAATGAATCCTCTATATCCATTTTTCTTCCTTTGACCCATTTCATCTAGGTTGGTTCACCAATTAAGCAAATTCTTCTCCAAGTTCAATAAAAATTAGAGCTTTGACAATTGGCATGGTGAACTAAGGTTAAAAATTACTCCCTCCGTTTCATATTAAATGAGGTACTTTCCTTTTTAGTTTGTTCCAAAACAAATGACACATTTCTAAATTTGGAAATAATTCAACTTTAAACTCTTCATTTTACCCTTTTTGCCCTTAATGAGAAGCTTTTATAGCCACACAAATGGCATTGGCCCCACAAACTTTTTACCCCTTAAGCTTTTAAGACCACAACTTTCAAAAGTCTTCTTCTTTTTTGTTAAACTCCGTGCCGAGTCAAACTACCTCAAATAATATAAAACGGAGGGAGTACTTGTTTTTTCAATAGTTATTATTGGCCAACCTTGGGCTTTGCGAAACAGTTGGAGATTGTTGGTACTGATGGAAGGTTTGTTGGTGGAGATGAAATTTTTGGTGGAGAAGGTGGAAGTAATTTGGAGGGACAAAAAAAGGAAAATGTGGTATGGGCCACACATAAAAATAATTTAAACTAAAAAGAAAAAGAAAAAGAATGTAATTGAAATCCTCACGCACTTTTTAATGAGACACAACTGTTCTGCCATGTAAGAGAGGCATTTACAAGACACGTAATAGTCACTTGAAGTGCCAAAATGGTAAATGAGTTAGTTGAAGTGTTTCTCTAGTCGTTGAGGACAACTTGGAGCTTTTTGTGTATTTTTCCAACATTTTAACGACTTATTTTTCTTTTGAAATTAAAAGGGTAGTTTTATAAATAAAAATTAGTACTTCCTCCATTCTAATTTATGTGAACCTGTTTGACTAGGCACGAAGTTTAATAAAAAATGAAAGACTTTTGGAATTTGTGGTCCTAAACAAGTCAGAAAGTGGTCCAGACTCCAGAGTATTTGTGTGGTTATGAAAGCTTCTCATTAAGGGTAAAATTGGAAGTTTAAGCTAAATTATTTCCGAATTTAAAAATGGGTCATTCTTTTTGAAACAGCCCAAAAAAAAAAAATAGCTTCACATAAACTGGAACCGAGGCAGTAATAAAGGTATTTTCTAACTCCCCTAAACTCAGTCAAAGGGAAGCAACAAAATTTGTAAGTCATTTATCTTTTTTTTAACATGGTGCCTACACATGTGAACACCACGAAGCCAATGCCATTATGGCCAGCAAAGGGATAATTGCTATCTGTGGAGGGGACAAAAATAGTGCGATAGGAAGCTCTATTTGGTTGAAATAATGTAATCTTGATTGAAAGATACTTTCTTCTAATTTGTTAGTAGTATATCTGGTACTTAGCAACCACGTCTATTGATTTTGAAGATTGCTACTGAAAATTGTTGTTCCTTGATTGTTACTATGCTATTTTTTCTCCCCTTTTACTAGAAATTGTTGTTGACGCTACTTTTTCTCCCATTTCCTTATTGTCTTTTGTCTCCGGCCTCTTCTTTCTTTCTTCCCTATCTTACTTCTTCTTCTTCTTCCTTTCCACCTTTTCTTGAGCCAAAGGTTTATCAAATAACCTTTCTACTTCTCCAGGTAAGGGTAAGGTCTGCGTACACACTACACTCTCCAAATCCCACCTGTGGGATTATATTGAGTTTGTTGTTGTTGTTGTTCCGATCATCAATAAACTTTATAGTTATAATCGTTGTCGGTTAATAGGCCAATTAAATACATTGTAAAAAAGTTTGGAATTTTTACCTCATATATCAAAGGTTAACACCTTATTTATTTTAAATAAATGTCATTAAAAAAAATTATATTCTATAGCTATCTTTTAATGTTTATAGCAAAAACTCTATTTATGGTTACCTCCTACTCTTAAGCCATTATATACGCTATTTATTATTATTTTCTCTCCTTTTTTAGATTTTTCTCTCAAATAATTACCGTATTTGATGTAAACTTCTCACTCCAAGTTCTATCTCTCTAATTTGATACACGCCATTCTCTTCCCCCATTGCCAGAAACCACGATTCTGCAACTCAAAATCTCTCTCACCCACATCACCTACCATTAGTCACAAACGGTGCTTTTGCCTCTTTCTCTTCTCGTATTTCTCTGTGTTTTCAACTCAATTATCCATTTACTTTCAATTCTTCGCAATCGGTAATCCTTTGTACTTTTTTGAGCCTTAAATTTCTCTGATCTCTCGCTCTCACGACACCGCGCTTTGGACACTTGGAGAGGAATTGACTGTTGATGGTCTACTGGTAGAGTGAAGAACCAACCCTCGAAAATGATATGCAACGTCTTGCCATGATTTTTGCTCGGCTACTATACAGGATGCGTGGGAACAGTGAGATTCAGGTTTTTTGCTCGACGGCGGATTCGCCGGAAATTAGGGTTATCTGGAAGCTGAGCAACTTGAAATTCTGTTAATATATTTTCAATGTATCACGCTGTATTTTTTCATGTATTTCATTGTATTCATTGTCTTTTTTTTTCATTGTAACTCAATGTATCTCGTTGTATTCCATGTATTTCATTGTATTCACTGCCTTTTTTTCATTGTATTTCAATGTATCCCGCTGTATTCTATGTATTTCATTGTATTTACTGTCTCGCTATATGCCATGAATGCATTTATATATATTTTTTTAATTAATATAATTTATGTATTCAGATGTATTATATAATTTCTCTGAAGATTGCTATGTTTTTGGGGTATTTTCCGGTTGAGAATCTTTTTTATAACTGGAAATACAACATTTGCGTGTTACAGTTGAGTTTGTTAAGTTATATTAGGAGTCTATTATGTTAATTGATTCACTTTCCGTTTAAAAACAGTGTAATCCCCTGTTTCACGCCGTGAATACAGTCGAATACAATAATCTGTCCGGCTGTAATCCCATGTTTCACGCCATGAATACCGTCGAATACACTCGAATACAAAAATCTGTCTAGCTGTAATCCCCTGTTTCACGCCTAGAAATGCTACTGTATTCATGAATACAGTAGCTTAAATACACCGAATACACTCTAAAAAACCTGAAAACAAAGCTATAGGAAGTAATATAGTAAATGATAGCTATAACTAGGTAATAACCACTCAAACATACTGGTTTCTGAAAGTTTCTCAAAAAGTTTTGGGAGCCCATTTGTGATAGCTCGTACTATTAAATGGAATGAATAAATTGAGACATTCGAAACTGTTCTCCTTAATTAAGATCAATAAATTATGGAATAACATGTGTGTACTCTTTCTTTTCCTCTGCACGCAGCCTTAGCAATTTCTTTTGGGTTTTATGACTATTGTATGAAATTTTAGGTAATTGATAGGTTGTTCGAATAACAGAATCCGTTCTTCAACTGAAAAGATTGGACATGATCCATAATTTTGCAGGCAATAGCTTTGAGAATGCAGATATTACTCGGATAAATTAAAACCGATGTACACCACAAAGCAAATTACGAAAGAAACAAATGACATTTATTAGTTTTCATAGACTTGATTGGAGTTCAAAAATATACACTGAGTAGAAAGAAGGAGAAAAGAAAAGAAAAACCAAAACAGTTTCTCCGGGGAAAAACATAAGGATATTATTCAAAGAAACTTCCCCTAAAGACATAGGTTAAGTTGTCTTAAAAATGGAGATATTAAAAGCCTTCGGGCTTGTAGGCAATGAAACTGATGCACTGCACTTGACGGACGTTGTCGAATCCAATGATTCTGATCCAGGCTTGTGGGTAAGCCTTCTTTGCCTCCTCTACCTCAGCCAAGACCTGAGTGGCATCAGTGCACCCGAACATGGGCAACTTCCACATGGTCCAGTATCTGCCATCGTAGTACCCTGGTGACTTGTTGTTTTCACGGTAGACGAATCCGTGCTGCACATATATCCACAAGATAAACAAAACATTAACACGACATAATACTCCTCTTTCACTTAATCACCTATATATGTCTAATCCAAAACTAGTTAGGATTGAGTAATTCATGTTAGGTATGCTTGATAATAGTAGCAAGATTTAGAATAGATGTTGACCTCAGTCTCGAATTCCAAGCAAGGAACCCATCCATTTTTCAAAAGGTACTCAACTTCCCTAAGCAATTGCTCCTCGCTCAAATCAGGAAGGTATGAGAGTGTCTCGTACTTCTTCTTGTTAATTGGTGGCCACACCTATATAAAGAATTAAAACAAACTTCATAAGTACAATAAAAAAGTGGGATTGTAATATGAAAAATAAATCAAATTACCTGCTATAATAACAGGTCAAAATATATCAATATATAATGTAAAATTTCTTTACACAATCAGTTTATATGTATAAGCTACCTACAATAATATATGCTACAAACCTGCATGCATTGGACTCTTCCACCATTGCTAGCAATGGAAGTAATGTCAAGGTTTTGTTTTCTGGAAACAGGGAAGGAGGAGGCGGACTTGAGGCCAGTGAAGGGCGCGGCCATGCTGGCTTGAACAGCATTGGCGCCGGTGGCAACAGCGGCAGCTGAGGACATAACTGAGGAAGCCATTGCTGATTATTAATTGCTTAGAGCTTGAAGCTATTGCTTCCCTTGACCTTTGCTTTAAGAGTGTGATTGCTATATATAGTGATAAGATTTTACATCCTTTTCCTATCTAACGGACACAAGCAAGCAATAACCTCATCTTAGAGGAATCGTAACCGTTGGATTACAAAATTGATGGGCACATGAATTTGAACCCCTGACATTACACTCAGTCGTCCTTATCTCCCAAACTTAATTTGTGAATGGGATATATTTTCTAAAAATAACAATTTGCTGCTATTCTTACTAATTGAAGAGACGGACAAGCTTTTCATTTTTATAAATCATATTAATATCAGAACTTTTGAAGAACATTAAGTTTTGAACCCCTATAATATTCTTTTTCTCGTTTGGTTTTTGCCGTAAAGAATTTCGACGGCAAATTTTGCAACCTTAACTTAGTAGGAATCAACAAGGGTAGCAACGGCAACAAAAACAGTAAGTCATCTATTTCATTTTAAAAAGGGGCCACACATGTGAACACCATGAGGCCATTCCGATATGGTAAATATTTACTCCTACCCCATATTTACACCAAATCATATCAACTTAATTACTAATATTAAGTGATTTAACAAGATAAAAATACATTTTACTTAATCATTATTAAATGATAATAATCTATTAGCAAATACATTTTATTCATCTACTAATTAATATGGCCAACAACGAGATCATATTGCTATCGTTAGAGGGGGAAATAGTGTACGGTAGGGAGCTCTATTTGGTTGATAATCATATAAAGCCAATTCCAGCTTATCTCAACTAATTATCGAAACACTTTATAGTTATACTGACTACAAGAAATAAGATTTCCGTGACAACGTTCGAGTGCTTTTGTTACCACCAAAAAGTAATTACCGAATCGCCACAATAAGTAGTGGTTCCAGCAACGAACTATATGTCATCATTTTAGTATCGACATAAATATATATATATATATATATATATATATATATATATATATATATATATATATATATATATATATATATATATATATATATATATATATTTATGACCGAGCTATAATCGGTGGGCANATATATATATTTATGACACATTTATTTACTTTTCATGGCATGCTCAGTCTTCACAAAAGCTAATATTAAAACAAATTAGTTTTTGGCAATGGAGATCACCACAAGAAGTAAACTAATGCGCCATAAATAAATATATGGTACGTTCCTAGCTAGTTAAAACAACGTCATATAGTTTGTGGTGACTCGCTACTTACTTTTGAGCGGTGACTAAAGAGGTCGCCACAGAATGTCATCACTGAAAACCTTATTTCTTATAGTGACTCCTTATTGTGTTACTTGTTCAATTAAATACACTCTACACAACTACAAACACACATTTGCTATGATAAATAAGGAAGATAGAAATTTCGATACAAGATGCTGATTATACACTATATATACGGCAATTCTGACAAGTAAATGATTTTGCTTATCATTTAATGCTTTTACTTTGAGAAGTCAACAATGGATATGAAACACGGACGTAATGCAGCTATTGCAGGTTAAAATGAATTAATAAGGTCAGTTAGGTCACAAATTTCATGGTAGATGATGAAACTATGGAGAAAATATATTTTCAATGCCATGACTTGAAATTACAAATTTGTCCCTTCAACAAGATATTAATTGAAGTGATCACTTGACAAAGATAAGGTGGCTCTATGATAGAGAAAATAATGCAGTTTTGTCATGCTCGCTGGAAATTTATTACAAAGTCTACACTATCTTGCATTATATGCTACAGGGGACAGAGACATGGGAAAGGAAGTAATACACATTTTTTACTCTTAACTCTCAGGCTTGGGCTATCAATTTTTGAAAATATGAGACGTTATAGAAAGGACCAGTAGGGATAAGAAAACTTCCTAGTTGCCTAGGGAATAGTGATTACTCGACGAATAGTTAAGGACAATGCAAGGGAGATTTGATTTTGAACTTAAAATCATCAAAATTTGCAAAAAAAAAAAGATAGGTATATATCTATGTGAATGGACAAAAATGAAAATGATTAGCATCCAAACAAAAAAGTATGAATCGTCTGTACAAAGGAATGGTCTCTAAATCCAAGCAAAACGACTACAAGTAGCAGCCAATGCAGATGACAAGAAAACAAATAAAACACTGACCCAAAAGAGAAATTAACCAACCATTTTCACACATTCCTATCCCAATTCCTTACCCCATTTCGGATGAGATAAGATTAATGAGCTTCTGCCACGTGTCACCCCTTCTTATGGCTTATGGAAATAGCTTAACTCAACCAAAAAAAGGAAAATGAAAAAAATAACATCTCCCAGTTGCTACCCTTCATGTGGCCATCAATTTTGTAAGGTCAAGAACCACATAATCCAATGGTTACCATTAGACTAAGATGAGGTTAGCTTGTTTTGTGTCCGTTAGATGGGGAAGCTATGTGAAACCTTATCATTATATATATCAGGGGAGCTGCATATCAAATAACCCTCCTGAAAGCAAAGGTAAAAGGTAGCAATAGCTTTAAGCCAAGAAATTGTTCTCAGAAATGGCTTCCTCAGTTATGTCCTCAGCAGCTGCTGTTGCGACCGGCGCCAATGCTGCTCAAACCAGCATGGTTGCACCCTTCACTGGCCTCAAGTCCGCCTCCTCCTTCCCTATTTCCAGGAAACAAAATCTTGACATTACTTCCATTGCTAGCAATGGTGGAAGAGTTCAATGCATGCAGGTCTAATTTGTAGTATATATTATATGGATTTAACTTGCAATATACTGATAGTACTATAAAGAACTCTGCACTATCAGTATATTTCACTAAGTGGAGTAACATTTATGGAGCTTCTTTAAATTTTTTATGTGGGATATATGTAGGTGTGGCCACCAATTAACAAGAAGAAGTACGAGACACTCTCATACCTTCCTGATTTGAGCGAGGAGCAATTGCTTAGGGAAGTTGAGTACCTTTTGAAAAATGGATGGGTTCCTTGCTTGGAATTCGAGACTGAGGTCAACATCTATTCTAAATCTTGCTACTATTATCAAGCATACCTAACATGAATTACTCAATCCTAACTAGTTTTGGATTAGACATATATAGGTGATTAAGTGAAAGAGGAGTATTATGTCGTGTTAATGTTTTGTTTATCTTGTGGATATATGTGCAGCACGGATTCGTCTACCGTGAAAACAACAAGTCACCAGGGTACTACGATGGCAGATACTGGACCATGTGGAAGTTGCCCATGTTCGGGTGCACTGATGCCACTCAGGTCTTGGCTGAGGTAGAGGAGGCAAAGAAGGCTTACCCACAAGCCTGGATCAGAATCATTGGATTCGACAACGTCCGTCAAGTGCAGTGCATCAGTTTCATTGCCTACAAGCCCGAAGGCTTTTAATATCTCCATTTTTAAGACAACTTAACCTATGTCTTTAGGGGAGTTTCTTTGCATTCTCTCTGGAGAAACTGTTTTGGTTTTCCTTCTTCATTCTATTCAATGTATGTTTTTGAATTCCAATCAAGTTTATGAGAACTAATAATGACATTTAATCAATAAGCTACGCTAGCTAGATTCACATTACAGTTCACTTAGATCGCACCCGAGGTATCGTTATCTCTAATCCAACCTCTAAACCCTCGGTTATGACTCTCGCCTATACTCCGGGAGTGATGTTGTTCAAACAACTACCTAAATATGCACTCTCTCCCAAGCAGATACATAATAAATAGGAACGACTAATTGAGGATCCTTTCAATTAACCAAAATCAAAACGTAGTTGAACAAATAGAGATAAACAACTAATTCAAAACTATATTAATATAACAACCAATTCATCCCCAAAAGGTTCCATCAAAACCCTAGAAAACGAATTAGCTATTCATAATAGCATGTAAACTTCAATACTAAAAAGCATAACCAACAATGAAAAAATAGGAAGAAGAAGGAAAAACTCGTTGAAGAATTCCGCGCCTTGCTCCTATTGTGTTCTTGACTCCTTAGGTCGAATCTCCGGTCTCCTTAGCCTCCTTAGGTCTAAATTATGTCAAAAGTATGTCCAACTCCCTTCAAAATAGGTTTAGGACCCCTTTTATACAAGTTGGAATAGTGTAGGGCCGAAATAACCTCGTCCCGGACGAAATAGGACTTCTTTTTGACGCCTGGAGCGGCGCGGCCGCGGCCAAAACGCGGTAGGACCGCGGCCAGACAAGCTCTCTGATTTTCTGCCGCGGTCAGTTCCGCAGTCGTGGTTTCGATCGCGTTTTTTACCCTTTTCCGTTTGAAATTTGGAAAAACGTAAAACATGAAAGTTGTAGTCCTTTGAGTTCGCTTTCCAACTATATATTGTGGAGCCCAAATGGAGTACTGAGCAAAAAGTTATGTCTATTTTACTAGACAGTGCGCAACATGCCTCCTCGAGTCTTCGTTCGTACTTAATTATCAAATTTGACCCCCGAATACGATCCCGGCTGAATTCCTTGGGCTTTTACTCTGACTTCAAAGCTCCAAATCACTTGAATTTATTCCATAACATCTATATAGCTCGAAATCACTCCTACAAGGCATAAAACACACCGTTAGTGCAAAACACTAGCGATTAAAGCGCAAACTCAACTGAAGTGCAGTAAATTAGAGTGTAATAAGCGATTAAAATATGCAATTATAGCCTATCATCAACACCCCACACTTAAACCATTGCTCGTCCTCAAGCAATCAAACTACACTTTTTTTTATAGACACGACCTTTTTAAACAATTCTTCTAACTCATCACACCAAGAGTATTTAAAATAGACTAAGCACAAAAGTGTAACATCTTCACCTCAAGATTTGACTCACAAGTACCGCGCATTATTCACAACTCACCTACTTACTCTAACATAGAGGTCACTGACATTACCTTTCCTTCATGAATCAAGTGCCCTCACACAACACAAGAGAGTAGTTCCACACAATAAAATTGAAGAACACTTAGGAACTCAAGATAGAAAGAATTCACTCACTCTCAGAAATAACATTCATATGCCACAAAAGAT